TGTTAATATTTCTATAAAGATTCTAATGAATCCATTTTATGAGCTCAATACTCGGATTACTTCTTCTTCATTTGATGCCAAAGTTGATAATGAAAATCGATTCTAATGAGTTGATTTTTTTAGAAGTTACAAGTGAGGAATATGAAACAACTTCTAGTTTGAAAAAGATCACAACCTAAACTACCCTGATCTTTCATTATTATCTATAAATATGGAAAATGTTAAGAAATAATGTCTTGATTGATGAAAACGTTTCACCTTCGCCTCCTCAACTTTCTGTATTAATAGATAAAGAAGAGGAAGAAGAAGTATTGTCACAAGTTACCCCAGTTACAATTACTAATGTTCAGACAGAAATATCAAAGGTTCATATAAAGCGAGAAAATTAATCAAAGTCATCCTTTACGCGGAGTTTTACGATTTAAAATAACAGTTCAACAGATTTTAATAAGACGGAAAGAGATATTAAAAAACTTATATCACGTAAATACATTACATGGAACAACTGGTATTACAGTTGGAACTATAGGTCATCAAATATCTAACACAAATTGGAGACTGAGATCATGTCGGATCTTTTTTAACATATTAAAACAAAATAAACCTGTTACAGAATTAGCTTTTTGATTATTCAGTTAATGATATTTTAAATTATTCTCTCACACACATATATTATATATTATTAAGTGAATGAATGTAATCATGCTTTGGATATGTTGAATTCTAGAAATTCACTTATCGACCATTTGATGAAAATGTTAAAAAATGACAATTAGAATATCTATTAATTTATTATTATATCATATATTTAATGAAAAATCTTATTTCAGTTAGTCATTTTATTTTTAATATTTACATTTTTGAAATATTTATTAAACCAAAAATTCTTTTATCAATGATCTCGAAAATGACTCTACCATATTTTATTTTGCAAATATTAACTTATAAACTTCCTGTAAACAATCTTCGGGATATGTCTCTACATGTAGTACGTTCATTCATAAGTGTGTATTTATTATCCCATGGAAAGATAGTTCTATTAAAACATCATTTATTAACAAAATTAATAATAATAATTGATCTTTATTCTCTAAAATTAACATCCCT